AAATTAAGTCCCTTCTCATACTTTAATAATTTTATACTATTATATAATTTTACTGTTTAGCAAAACTTTATCTAAGAATATTTTCTTATTTTTATTTTATGTATATGAGTGTTTTGCCTGCTTGTATGTAAGTGTACCCATGTTGTGCAATGCCCACAGAGCCCAGAAAAGGGCGCCAGATCCCCTGGAACTGGAGCTAAAAACAGTTGTTAGCTGCCGTGTGGGTGCCGGGAACTAAGCCCAGGTCCTCTACAAGAACAACCAGTGCTCTTAACCACTGAGCCATCTGTCCAGCCCTTGGGCTTTTAAACAATGACTGATCTCAAGCTGTCTATGTAGCTTAGGATGATCTTGAACTTCTAATTTTCCTGTCTCTACCTCCCAAGTTCTGGGGTTACAGGCAGGCACCACCATGCCCACTTTATGCAACGCTGAGGATAGAACCCCAAGCTTCATGCATGCTAGGCAAACACTCCTCAACAGAGTTGCATCTCCAGCCTATAGAATTCTTTTCCATTTATTCACTCAAATACTGATTGGGATCCGAGTTGTGCCAGGTACTATTCTGGATGTCACTAGTGGCAAAGATATGTGTGCAAATGAATGGTCCTACAGCAGGAGGTGACTTGTGGATGTTCCTGCAGACAGTGCTTTAGGTCACCATCACCAGCTGTATTCACCTGCCCTTCCATGAGCAAACCCTCTGGAGAATTGTACTAAGACATCCACACTATGTATACTGACAGCTAGCTGCTCTCAGGCCTGCACTCCTCCACCTGGCTCAGAGCAGGTGAACTGTGTGGAGCACAGGCAATCTGGCTAAGTGTCTGGTATTTTAGACTCTGGTGTCACAAGGACTGTGATCAAACCTGGGCCTTATGTTTATTTTCTGTGTGAGAACAGACACATTGATTAGCCTTCTGAACATGTTTCCTCACTGTAAAATGAGAAAGTGTATATGTGTGTCTAAACTCTTATAAGGGTTAGACGACATAATGTGTGTGTGTGTGTGTGTGTGTGTGGGTTAACATGATTCCCAGAAGTCAATATTTTGTTTGTTGTTGCTGTTTGTTTGTACATTTTATTTATTTTTAGTATTTATTTATTGATTGATTTATTGATTGATTGGTCTTTTTGAGACAGGGTCTCCCTATAGCCCCAGCTGGCCTGGAACGTCCTATGTAAACCAGTCCGGCCTTGAACTCACAAAGATCTACTTGCCTCTGCCTCCTGAGTGCTGGAATTAAAGGTGTGTGCCATCACACCCAGCTATTTATTTATTTTTATTTTATTTGTCTAGTGTTTGGCCTGCAAGTATATAAGTGCATCAGTGTCATTCAATGCTCAGGAAGCCAGAAGAGGGAGTCAGATCCCCTGGAACTGGAATTATGGACAGTTGTTAGTTGCCATGTGGGTGTTGGGATCAAACTGGGTCCTCTGCAAGAGTAGCCAATGCTCTTAACTACTGAGTCATCTCTCCAGCCCATTTGATTTTTTGAGACAAGGTCTCACTATGTAGCCCCAGCTGGCTTGGAACTTAGTATGTAGACCAGGCTGGCCTCAGACTCACAGAGATGTGCCTGCCTCTGCCTCCTGGGTGCTGAGATTAAAGGTGTGTGCATCACTCTGGTTTCAGGACACAGTAAGTGTTTGGTAAGTGCTAGCTGTTTTAAAATTTGTGTGTGTGTGTGTGTGTGTGTGTGTGTATGTGTGTGTGTGTGTGTGTGTGTGTGTGTGTGTGTGCACATGTGCTGTAGCACTCCTGTGGAGGCTGGAGGACAACTTGTACGTGTCAGTTCTCCTCACCAAAGTGTGTGTTCCAGGAATCAAACTCAGGTCACCAGGCTTGGCAGCAAGCACCTTTACCCACTGAGCTGTCTCACTAGCCCTCCTTTTTTCCTCCCAAATGCACTATTTACAATATAGGAAATGAGCTACAGAGACAGGTATTCCAAAACGTACCTAAATTGTGATATTTGTGTTGCAGGTGCTAAGCATCATGATTTTCTAGAATCTAAGGGATGCTTGGCCAATAGGATATCCTCTGACAGAAGGATCAGCCCCTCATCTTCCAATGAAGCAGGTTGGAGTGTCACTGAGCCTCAAGGCCTCGCCAGAGCATTACCTTACTTTGAGTAAGTAAGCAGGGGTCGGGGAGAGTGTCTGGTGAGGAGCCATCAAAGTTGATGTGAACTATGATCAAGAATCTGGTAGTCTGAGACCAGCTAGGTCTCAACCCAGCAAGGCAAGAACATTAGCACTACACTATAGTGGCTTCCTCCAATGCCCTTTGCTTGGAATCACGTATGATGGGAGCTGCTCAGCACCCGCTGACCTCCCCAGTGGATTCACCTATGTGGTCCCCCCCCCTCCTAGGGAATTTGTTCCCTTTCCCTTCTATCCAAGATTAATTAGTGATCTGCATGGGAGTTGCCATCTTGTTGACACCACCGTTTTGGGTTTTTTTTTTTTTTTTGTCTTTTTGACACAGGGTCTCCCTGTAGCCCCAGCTGGCCTGGAACTTGCTACATAGTCAAGGTTGGCCTCGATCTCACAGAGCTCCATCTGCCTCTGTCTCCCCGGGTGCTGGGATTAAGGTGTATACCACCACGCCCAGCTTGGTTCCACTATCAACTGTGATTGACTTGAGGGTGGACACATGACCCATGTTGAACCATTAAGAGTCCTTCCCTGAGATTTTTCACACTAGAGACAGGAATGGTAAGAGTTTGGATCAGAGGCTTTTGGTTGGCTTGTTGCCATTGTGGAGAAGCTCACCTGCATCTGGCAAAAATGATGTCAAGATACCAAAGCAAGAGACCAGCAAGAGAGAACAGTGCTGGGGAAACTGAGCCCTGATTCCAGTTGTCCTCAGCAATGCCTTTGTAATGGGAGCTGAACCACTGCTCAAACTACCGTGGTCTGAGTTGGAGCTCTGTCACTTTCCACTAATTTTGATTAATCATGGTGGTGAATTCACACACAGCTTTTGAGCCTCCACTCAAGCACAGTTCCAGTTTCATTTCCGTTACTGTGATAAAATACCCCATTAGTAGAGGAAGGGTTTATTTGGCTTATAATTCTAGGTTACAGTCCATCATTGGGGGGAAGTCAGGGTAAGAACTTCAAACAGCTGGTCATATCACATCCACAGTCAAGAGCAGAGAGGAAGAAATGCACCCATTCTTGCTTGCTGGTTTTCATGTGCTGAGCTTGATTTCTCCCCACCTAAGGAATGGTGCTGCCCACCATAGGCTGGGTCTTTCCACATCAATCAATTTAATGAAGACAATCCCCCACAGACATGCCCGCAGGTCAACCCAGTTGTAGACAATCCCTCATTGAGACTGTCAGGTGATTCCAGGTTGAGTCCGGTTGTTAATTAAACTAACCATTGAAAGCATCATCCCAGAAGTCTGTTCTAATCCCTCAAGTCTATGTGGATTGGTGTCCTTTCTGGGGACTCACTTAACATCCTGGAAGGGTCTCTATCACAGCATTTGCCCATTCTTCCACAATCATCTGTGGATGTCCATCTGCTCTTCCCAGACCTTAAGCTCCTTCAAGGCAGGAGCTGTGTTGAGTCATCTTTGGATCCCCAATGTTTTGAATAGTGTCTGCTACAGAAGAAACAAAATAGGTGGGTAATTCTAAAGTTTTCTGGGAAAGTTTCCTTTATCTTTGCAAAACTGTCTTCACAGCTTATTCAGCATTGTCATTCCTCCTCCCCCCTTCCTCCTCCTCTTCTTCTTCCTCCTCTTCCTCTATATCCTTACTGATTTTTAAAGTTGCATTCAAGGGTTTAGTTGAACAAAAATCTTTTCTGGAAACTCTAAGACATAATTCATGTATCATATGTTTCCAAGGGGATGAAACAATAGGATCAATATCTCTCTTTTCTTCTCTCTCTCTATCTCATTGTATAAAAATGGATTTACTAGGGAGTATTTAGTAAGCTCATATGACTATGGAGCTCATCTTTAAGATGTCTGTCATCAACTTCTCTGTATTTTTCTTAGTCCTTGTGTTAACTCTCCACTACTGGGACATGTATAATACCCGAGATAAGTCAATGTAAAAAGAGGAAATTTTAATTTGGCTCATGGATTCTGAGGTTTCACTCAGCGGTCAGTTTGCTCCATTGTTTCTGGGACTGTGGTAAGGCAGAGCACCATGGTGGGTATGCATGCATGATGGGGAAAGCTGCTCTCTTCATGGTGGCCAGGAAGCAAACATGAGAGCAAGAGCAAGTGTAAAACAAAACCCATCCCTGAAACTCTCTAGGTGGTGAATTCATAAATGTATTCATGCATTCATGAAGTCAGAGCCCCTGTGATCCAATCACATAAACACTGTTACATCGGGGACTGAATATTCAACACATAAGCTCTTGGGAGCCATCTAAGATCCATACTCTTGAAAGAAACTTCTACCCTTTAGCAGTCATCCCTCAATTTCCCTATCTTTCCAGCTCTAGACAACATTTTGTTTCCATAATTTGATTATTCTGGACATTTCATATATATTAAACCATCAACATGTGATCTTTGGCATCTTCATTCTTATTTTTGTTTAGTTATATTAATTACCATCTCTCTGTGTGTTTGTGATATGGATGTGTGTGGCGGGGAGGTGCTCATGTGTGCCACAGTGTGAGTGAAGGTCAGAGGACAGCGTTGTAGAATTGGTTCTCTCCTTCCAAATTTTTTTGGGTTCTGGGGATTGAATTCAGGTTGTTAGGTTTGTGCAGCAAATGCTTTTACCCAGAGTCGTCATCACATCAGTCCTAAGATTTTTTTCTTTTAAAAATGTATTATCTATCTATCTATCTATCTATCTATCTATCATCTATATATCACCTATCTATCAATCATTTATCTATCAATCATTCATCTATCTATCATCTATCTCTCTATCTATCTATCTATCTATCTATCATCTATCTATCTATCATCTATCTGTCTATCTATCTATCATCTTCTATCATCTAGCTAGCTACCTAGCTAGCTAACATTTATATATAGGCAAGTTCTCATGTATCCTAGGCTAGCTTCAGACTATGTTGCTGAGGATGACCTTGAACTTTTGATCCTCCTGTTTTTACCTCCAGAGTGCTATGGATGGAACCCAGGGCTTGGGGCTAGGCAAGTATTGTACAAGCTGAGCCATGTCCCCAGCCTAGTGTCAGCCCTCTTTTAAAAAATATTTTATTTTGGGGCTGGAGTGATGGCTCAGCGGTTAAGAGCACTGACTGCTCTTGCAGAGGACCCGGGTTCAATTCCCAGCACCCACATGGCGGCTTCAGACGTCCTTAACTCCAGTTCTAGAGCAATCCTAAACCCTCTTCTGATTTCCACAGCATTGCATGACACGGGTGCACTCACATACATGTAGGCAATACACTTATATGCATAAAACAAAAATAATAAAAAATATTTTATTTTTAATTTTAAACTATGTATATGTTGTGTGTGTATGTGGGGGAGGGGGTTGTGCATATAAGTGCAATATTTGTGGAGTCCAGAAGAGGGCATTGGATACCTTGAAGCTAGAGTTACAATGGATACCTTGAAGCTGTTGTGGGCCAGCTCATGTGGGGCTAGGAACTGAACTCTAGTCCTCTCTAGCAGCAGTTTTTTTTTTTTTTTTTTTTTTTTTTTTTTTTTTTTTTGCTGGGTCCCCTC